ACGGTTCAGCTAACACCCACGGCTAGCAGCAGAATAAACCTGCCCCAGTAGCAACGCTGCTGAGTTATGAGGGCGATTAGCCCCTCAGCTCTTGTTTTCCAGCACCATTTTCTCTTGCCTTGAGATGCCCATCATTCTGTCCAGAGTCATGCAGGCAGCAAAGGGAAGACCAAAAAAAGACTGCACTGGCCTGAAACCTTGGTCCCCAGCAAGTGCCTCAAAGCCCCACGGTGCTCCTGTAAAGCTTCCGAGCCTCCTGGAGATCTGACTTCAGAATATCATTTTTAGGAAAAACATCACTTTTTATTGCCCAGTTAGTAGCATCAGGAACGCAATGGTGGTATTGATCAGAAAATAAGCAGAGCTTTAGGATCTGCTTAAAAAAGGTTTCACGTGAGTCTCTCTAATTATACAGAGTTTAGTCGCGCTCTCAAGATTTTAAAAAAACATACAGCTCCCTATAACAGGCATTTTGAACCACATGGCCAAATCAAGCCACAGTTGACAGACACTGAACCTCCATAAAGGTGTTGTCCCCTTTTTTGGTGGCCAGCAATTTTGGCAAGGCCCAAATAAAGGCTAATCTAACCTTTGTGAAAGGTCACTGTTTATATTCTTAAAGAAGCATCAAGCCCAGTGGCAAAAGCAGATGCCCGTTCTCTCACGACAACAATTTCCCATCATCCTGCAAGAAGAGCGAGCAGAAGTTGATTTTCTTCTAGACACCTTTTGCAAAGCAAAGAGCCTACCTTGAATCGGAGCCTGTCGCTCCCTGCAGCTCTCCCAGTGCCGTGGCTGCCAGGACACTGGCAGGAACCTCCTGCCCAGCACCAGGAGAAAGGCCAAGCTTGCACCTTGTAGCAAGGTGGAGTGCTACAGCAGCAACGGTGCCCAAAATCACTGCTGCTCTTTCCTTCTCAAGCAGCTGCCGCTGAATTCACCCGACCCACAGGCAGATCATTTGCTTGACTTTCTGCCTGTTCTAACACACCAATTTGTGGAGGAAGCTGTAATCAGACGGACTCAAGCCTGCTGTGAGATCTCCAGCACACAACCTCCTCTGCCCTGGTGAAATTCCCAGGTCACACTGCTGAAAGCAACCAGATGCCTTCTCTGAGACAAACAGCAAACCTGAGGGAATGACTCAATAGCTTAACTCACATTGCAGATGTATTCATTTAATCCTCTTTGCTTAACACAAGAAACAGCAAACCCCGTGCAGAAGTAGACTGTTAATCAGTAATTTCTTGAACAGGCCTGAAAATAACAATCTGCTGAGTAAATCATGTAGCACCCCAAGGGTTAATTATATTTAGGAAAGGATGCAACGGAAACCCTTGGAGGAGTTAGCTTAGTAATCATAGTGCAAAATCCAAGTTGGGTGACAGCCAGCAGTGGAGCGAGTGGAATGTCACTGCTGCCCCATGGGTGACCTACTGGCAAAATATCTTTATGCTTATGAATATGGTAAGATAAAACCCAGGGCAGGCCTGAAGTCTTGACTGTTCCCAGATGTTACAGTAGCAACAACAACAACAAAGCACTACTTTTGAAGTGTTTTCTTGCCCAAGCCCCCCCCCCCCCCCCCCCCCCCCCCCCCCCAAGCCATGGGGCAGGGCAGCCCCCAGGGCAGCAGCACTTTAAACAAGGTTTCCCATCACTGGCTGGAGAGCCGCCGCCGGCAAGCAGGGGGGGGGCC